GTTGTTGTGAGGCGGGTCCATTTTGCTACAGTGCAGCGAGGCGGGCTTACGTTATGCAAGGTCGGAATTAGTCAGACTCAGGCGGATCGAGGGAAAACCCTAGGGAAAATCAAATCAATTCTTAGAGTTCCCTCGGCAGTCCGTTAGCACCAAATCATCGGCCGCCGAAACTTGGGAACGTGCCGAGGGAATTAGGGAACACAAGAATTGAGTAGGGCTAAATATGCGTGTTTTAAAGTCATGCTAGAATTTGATCGCCTGGTCAGTGCACACTCTGGGCTTCCGACAAGTGTCTCGCCAAGAATGTGTATCCTTGCTGCCAGAAAGGAAAGATCAAGGGGTGCGATTACAAGACAGTAGAAAGTCGTTGAATATTGAATATATAACTTACGATAAGTATATAGAAATATCAAAGCTATATGAAAAGACCGGATTCCTCCCGGTTACTGGATACCTAACGAAGTCAGTTGAACGGCTGGTTCAGTAGCAGTCCGTACGTACTATTAGCATCAAGAACGAAGTCGGAGCAAATCCCGGTCCCATCTTTGTCCTGAACGGCGTTCAATCGGGGAAGGGAGAGATCGCCAGTAGCACTGGGTCAGCACTGACGGCATGATGGCACTTTTCTTCTCCGCATCTCATCCTGAATCAATATAAGTAGATAGATAGACAGATAGACAGCTCAGGTGGAATCGTTACTCAGAATACGAAATGCTTTCAGATCCTTGCCGAATTCGCAAAGTAGCTAGATTCATGACAAGTTTCGAATAAGTTTCGAATCACGAGTTCCGAACGCTTGGGTCCCAAACAGTCGTGCCGGCGGCACGTTTAGTCTGGCTCTTTCTGTCTTGATTTCTGCCTCTCGTCCCTGCAGACGGTGCACGTTACACTGGATGCTAGCCTTCCACCCCGGATGTGACGGCTTCGGGAGTATCGGCCGAGGCACTGAGCTGTCAGAAAGAATTAACTAAGGGTGTAGTAAGCGTTGAGATGCATCTAGTTATAATTCCGAAAAAGAGCTGTTTTGATTATCCAGTTACTCATTGCTTGTTAAATTGGGTCCATAGGGCACTCTAGGGCACTACGAATGTCTGAAAAGGTAGACCCCTTGTGACTCGGATTCAGACCATTGCGCATTAACAACATCCCGTTGCGGAAAATCCCCTAAGATTCCTGGAGTTGGACTAGGTTCAACCTCGCGATCATTGACAGGACCTGACAGGCGACGAAATCGAACACAGCGTGTTAGTCACGTTGCAGCTAAGGTCCGTCGAGAGAGATGATAGTAGACCAACTATCCATGAGTTAGTTTCCATCAGAGCCAGTTTCAAGTATCCCATAAGTGCCATCACTGGGTAGTAGGCGTGTAATAGTCGAGATTCTGATAAGAGAATGATTCGACTCGAACAAGACGTTTTGTCTTAATGGAATATGGGGGTATATTTATGACTTCCTTACCATTTAGTGAGCTTCCCTATCTCATAGGAATCAGTACGCCTAGAGGCTTTCTAATTGAAGTGAATGTATCTGGTTTGCATATCTGGTGGTGATTTACGAACGAGACTTCAATCACTGGCATCGGGAATCGTCAATGCCGAGGTAAATTCTATGCATGAATATTCAACGAAGTCTGAAGTTCCGAAGGCGTAGGCTTGTATACGCTTTACAATTCAATTCTGACATCGAAGGTTCATCAGCACTCTGAAAGTGCATTAAGAAGGGAAGCATCCGAACTTGAATTAAGTATCCAAAAGACCTGCACACTCAGAAGGAATAATTAGCAGATAATAATGAAAATTCCGTGAATTAGGTAGAACGGACCTAAGTTACTGTTTACGTCAGGAAAGTGGGCAAATGCTATAGTTGCCATTATAGCGATTATAGTAACTATACTTAGCGCCGCT